AAAACGTGTACTTCTCAGTTCCAAGAGGGCTTAGTAGGTACACTTTTACATGGCTCAGTTTTCTGCATAAATTCCAGAATTTTTTAAATTAAAATTTTGTTTCATGTGGTGGTCTGAAGTGAGTATAAATCCTGAAAAATGAAAGGTAGGCTTGTGTACTTCAGACTGCCCATACAAATCACTCTGGATGAAAATTTAGAATAGAGTTTTTCACGTAAGTCTGAACTCTGCAGGGTCCTTCAGAACACAGACACAATTCTACCTCTGTCTGTCAATGAAATCACAGACTTAACCCAGATACAGTGTTGTACTCAGCTCATGAATTACAGTGGGCAGAAACCAATACTGGTAACTTCTAGAAAAGTGAATACAGCTCCTGAAAAAACAATCCAACCAACCAGAAAAAAACACCCCATAAAATAATATCCTCTAAATTTCTAAAACACTTTTTAAAAAACACTTGTGAAAACAATGATCTAGGAAGTATTTTGTGGTAAGAATATTTTATATATATATTTTTACACTTTTAACACTTACAAAAACATTCAAACACAAAAAAAATTAAATAACTTTGGGAGCAGAATAAATCCTTCTGCCTACACACATACATCAACTCCAAGCTGTTGGCACAAAAAGTAATCCACATTCATAAAACCCTTACTACTATATCAAACATAAGTTAAGTAAATCATAGGCACTATTTTATCAAATCCATATTTCCACAATGCTGCAGTAAATCTCTAAACACAGAGCCCCACGATTTCCTGATATCAATGAACTGGTAATGCACAAAGGCTTTCTATCAAACAGACAGTCTGTCTTCTCAGGAAGTCATTTGCTGTATTTTGGGGAGAACAGCAGAGAAAAGAATCCCTACAAAACTCAAGCTGAATTTACCCAAGCGATGAATTACTTAACTTAAGGAAACGTACACAAGTTTGATGCAGCCATGGTAAAACCCCCAATACTGTCACCTAAACTGACTTTCAAAATTTGTAAGTCAAGTGAAGTTTGATAAAATCCATCAATTTAAATTCCCCTTTCTTCAGTGAAGACAGCAGCATTGATTTGTACAATGCTGAAAAATTTAAATTCAGTCTTTACTGCGAATATGCACATTTAATCTAGTCCTGTTTTCTGCTGAACAGTGCTGTGAGGTACATCCGTTCCCTGTACCTGCAGGTGACTCAAGGCTACATTAGTGGTATGTACTGCTCTGTACTGGTGAAATGTGGTTTCTGTTGAAATCTGACAATTACAGTATATTTGACACCCCAGCTCTGAAGTCTTAGCCCAGATCTTGATTTGGTGTGTGAAGTCACCCATCAACCCAGAGCTTGCTTGAGTAGTTTAAGTTGCAAGTTAGTCTCCACTCCTTCCTATTTGGTTTCTTCCAAGTCAAGTAGTATTGAATGGCTTTTCATCCAGGAATATGTTAATGTTGGCCTAAAATTCAAGTGCTAGAATTTCAGGATTAGTTATCCTCTTTGTGGTGGGAGCAAAATACACCAGCAGTGCCAAACTCAGTTACTAATGGGGTTGAAGGCTACCTACCGTCCAATCCGACTTGTAGTGTTTGTCAATCATTGCACAAAGGATATACCATTCACATTCTCTTACTTCATCAACTGTACATCCAAAATACTGAAAAACCTTCAAACAAAATCCCTTCCACTTAACTAGTCCCACTCAATACAACTTTAGCTACAGATTTTTGCATGATGTCTTCCAAAACAGAAAACAATGGTTCAATGCTAAATACATAAGTTGTTCTGAGCAAAATGTGTTAGAGTAAGTCAGAGCCACCAGAGGAGTTTAATAGCTTGTAAACAGACATAGCAGGTTTCATACTCTGTTACCAGTAATGTAAGATACACATATGTAAGGCAAAGTACATATTTAAACACACTTACATGGGCAATATCTTCTGTAAAAATATTTACAATTTAAAATAAACCAATTTAAGAAATGGATGAAAGTAAAAAAATAGGATACAGAAAACTCCCTCATACCATGGAACATCACCTAAATGAATATCATTTGGCATCAAGAGTCAACTCATTTCCTTAAAATTTGTATGTTACAAGTGCATAGTTGTGTTTCCTTCTCCTTAACTATCAGCATTTACAGTTGCTGCAGGCTGCATGTATAGTGGTATGGTATTAGAATAAATCAAAATTATCACTTGCTCTTTCTTTTGCAAGGAAACCTGCTATAAAAAAAATTTCCCCAAACAGCAAGCCGTGTGTTAAAAATGTGGCTACAATAGTGAAGGCCATCTTTCCTGAGCCAGGAATTTAAGGTTAGAAAGATTGTACAACTGACACTAAGCCCTTTCGGCAATCAAACGTAAGAGTAGGTAAAGCCAATAAATCAACATAGGAAAGATGCAATCTATACTATTGCATTGTGTGTGTCTGCTACATTCAAACCTTTCAATGTGACAGAAGTCATGGCCACGACTCCCTGTTCTGCCTAATCCTCCAGAGTAACTGCTGATTCTTCCTGCAGTACTGAAGGATGGATCCAGTCTCAGTTGGGATCACATACAATTGATAAAATCAACACTTCCCTAGCACTGTAGCAGTCTGCAATCAGAACATGAGCTCTGATTCATGTAGCCTTGTTTCAATAGTACATATTCACCAATCTTTCTGCTGAGTTATAACAGGCTGAAAATGAAGTTTTGGATAATGTATGTTGATAGTTGTCCTTGCTGTTTTTCAAGATGGGCATTTCTTTGGCATTCATTCATTTTTGCCCCGACATTGGCCACTCTCATAAATGCTCATATTGATAACATTTTTAGCAAGCAATAAAAAAGCCCCCAGAACTGATAGCAATTTAATGTAGAAGTGATTGTATGACCACCAAACATCTGATGTTAGATGTCATTAAAGTGCTGCTTTTTAATAATCTCTGCCAGTTTGTGCTAATTAGAGACAGAGAGGTTTGGAATTTTTACAAATTCCAAGAGTCACATCTGAACAGTTTGTTTAATCAAGCTGTCTTTTTGCCTGGTGAGGAAGTATCCATGAGCACTGGAACATTAAGCTGTGCAGATCAGTAGCAGCCATCTTTCCAACTCTCATCTTTCACGTTGCCATATGTCTTGGGAGTGGGTAATGATCTAAAATGAAATGAGATGTTTTTCAGTTTCATATATAACTGTTGAAGTCTCTATCTACAATATGTAAGAATTTAAACATTTTATAAATAACTGAAATATACAGTTCCTTCATTTACTTCTCTGCAAAACAGTGTACTTAAGATAAACCATAGAGTATTTTCAGTTTTAGGTTTCATGTGTTGTAGCTTGGCAGCTACGACGCCAGAAAAAAGGCTAAATAAATACATAGACAGAAAACTTATTGCTATTATACTCTTAAAATGCAAACTTATCTGCTTCCACCTAAAATGGGCCATTTTTCCAGTGATGTATATAAAGGCAAATCCTTGTTTAGAATATTGCATTTTGCTTTGCAAATCTGACATTCATAGAAACTTCATTATTGCACTGTGTACAGAGTCTGCATTATAGAACCATGGAAATGTTTAGGCTGGAAAAGATCTGTAAGATCATCAAGCCCAGCCATTAACTCAGCACTGCCAAGGCCACCACAAGACCATGTCTCAAAATGCCACATCTACACATCTTTTAGATATCTCCAGGGATGATGACTCCACCACTTCCTTGGCCAGCCTGTTCTGATGTTTGACAACCCTTTTGGTGAAGAGATCTCCCCTGATATCCAACCTAAACCTCCTCTGGTGCAAGCTGGGTCTATTTCCCTTTGCCCTATACATGCAAACCTTAAAAAAATATTTTTATAAAGTCAGTTTTTAAAAAGTTTAGTAAGTGAAACACTTCTATAAGACAAGCTGTGATTTGGACAACCACACTTGACTACTATTAGCAAACTCCTGGCAAAAAACCTGCTTTTTATTACACAGAGTTCTGTACTGCTGACCAGTGCAGGCTTTAACCACAAAAGTCAGTGCTGTGACAGTTGCTTGTCATTCCCCTGCTAGCACTCACTGCAGAGCAGAACTTTTCCACTGTGCTATTTACCACCATTTTATCTTTTCACAGTACAACAGACTTAACTGTTTTTCCCTTCCGCTTAAGGAGATTTTAAATATTTCTCATGGATGACTTATTCCTTATGTCAGCTTCTACTTAACACCTTCAGTGAAAACTGACATTCACAGTTAATACTCAGTCTCTCTTGCAGTAGTTTTTGAAATGACACATCAAGCAACTTCTATAATTGGGTGCTAGCACAGTTAAGTTTAAGCTAAAAATTCTGTTTCATCCTGTGGGTTAACTGCAGTGATTTTTACATTAAGTTTAGCAAATGCTATGGATGTCTTGGTGCATTTTCCTTCTGGAAGTTTCCAGCTGCCCAAGGACAGAAACTATCTCACCGTGGTACTGTTGCTTGAGTTATGGAAGCAAGCAGTTCTGACTTCACAATGTGTCACTCACACAAGTGAATTTTCTCTTACCAGGTATATTTTGGTAACTTTTTACCACATGCAGACAAATTCTTGCCACCCTCTCAGTCCAGACTAAGATTTGATTTACTTAGTTCAGTATCGTCCACTACCGATTTAATTTTCACTCATTTACCATCACTCTCTCATTAAAGAACCTTTATCTCTCAGTTTAGGTTCAAAACTGTTTTGGAAATATGTCACATGGAGGTCTCCATTTCTGTTCTGAAAACCTCAAGATCAAAATAACAATTGCAAAAGAAGCAGCACAAGTACACAGTGAACAAAATTAATTTTGAAAACTTCAACCTAAGACTACCTGTCAGAGACTCACCTGCGAACAGGCTGTGCAAGTTTGCTGCGAGGCACTGGGATGCCCCCTGTGGAAGGGGCACTGGGTCTGGGCAAACCACTCCTCATCCCTGCTGGTCTGGTAAGAGTAGTACTGTTAATACTGCTGGCAGGGCTTGGCAAGCCTGAGCTCTGGGCTGCAAGAGGCCCTGGTGAAGAACTACTGTGCGTCAGCTGTGCGGCTTCTGGAGAGGCAACTGAGCCCGGCCCGTGGGTACCGAACGCTTTCACTGGCTGGCGGAGGGCTAAAGGAGACGGTGCCGCAGGCGAGCGGAATTTACTCGAAGAAGGTACTGGAAAATACAGAAGTTACTTTCAGCTTATGTTACAGTATTACTGAAATTAAAAACTGAAAATTACTTTATGTGATTATACAAACAATATGGAATGTATAATGGAATACAGCCAGTCAAGCAGCAATGAGAAACAGGAATTCAGGTGTCCTCTTTGTCATGTGTTTTTGATAGCGTAACTCTAATGCCCTTCTTTGCTGACTACAAATATTTATCTGGATTTGTATGTAATCCTAATCAGGCTATAACTGTTGTATCAGTTAAGTCAAAAGAAATAGAGAAGAAGGCTTAAGAAGAAATTTAACTGCTTCAGAAACACGTGAACTTAATTCCCATCTGTGAAAGAACATGTTGAAGAATACAACATTCTAGTGTGACACAGGCTTTAAACAGACTCAATATTAGTCTTCAATGATGAAATTTTGAGCGCAGAGCGTCTTGGTGTTTCTTTTATGCTGTTCTTTTTAACCACTGAGTTAGAATTCATCTAAAGATATAGTTACATTCCACATTTTCTGGCAGATGAAAAAAAAAAGATGAGGTTAGCTGTCCTGATTTCAGCTGGGATAGAGTTAATTTTCTTCCTAGGAACTGGTATAATGCTGTAGTTTGGATTAAGGATGACATCAGCCAACCCCCAACACCAAAGAGGTTAAGGTGCTGCTATGAAACTTAAAACCAGACAACTCTTAACAATTTATAGCCTTCCTCTTCTTACAAACATTACCTAAATTATCAGTATAACTAATACCTGTTTTCTAGTACTTTGTACCTGAGTCAGTATGCAAGGTTTTGTTATCAAGTCCTTTCTGGGATAGGTTAGTAAGACAAAATATTCAACAGTCCTTTGATAATGCCAAACCTTAAGCATAATTCTTCACAAGTATGAGGAATATTTACAAATTATGAATAATTTATCACTGAACAGAATACTTAAACTAACCATAATCTTAGTAATGGAATGAAATTTCACCAGCTTTTCAAACTGATTAGGGTGTGTCACTAAGAGTCAACACAGCATGATCAAATCAATCATGTAATGAAAACATGTTTACATCTAGTAAATTTGCATTAACTATTCTTTCCTCTACTAAATAAATGTTTTATACTGAGATCAAAGTTGCATTGTTTTTGACAGTTGTTGTGCATAAAGAAGCTGGTCCTTAACACAGCTTTTATTATAATTTTCAAGGTAGATCCAGTAAGAACATGAGGAGTGAGAAAGGAGATGGGTAATGCAGGAATGTAGCATCCTAAATGGGGTACAGAGGAGCTGGTAATTTTAAGATTGTATTCTGAAGCTGTTTCTTATAGGGGATGTCTAGGAAGATTAATATGTACCTCATTACAGATGTGAATTAGATTTGATTCCTTTCTGGATTACCCAAGGGGGCCTTTCCCCTGACAGCAATATCAAACACAGCATGAAGCCGCTCATGGGAAAAGCTGACAAGAAAAGGTGACAGAGAGGTCAAAAACACATGACAGTTGCTAAGTGGCAAGGAGATTAAGTAAAAAACCTTAAAATAAAAGCTGGCATCAAGCCAGAGTATGGATTAAGGAAAGCATTACCAACAGAATGACTGGACAAGAAGAGCATCCAAGTGCTCCCATGACTAAGATAGATTATATGTAAATTTTTAAAATGTGAGCTCGCCTGTTAACATCGATGCAATCAAATCTGCAGAATTTCCAAGCAACTCCACAGTGTAAATACTGGGAGCTTTTATCACTGAACTCCTCATTACAATGCTTGGAACACAAACACAGCACCATGTTAGCAGCTACCAACAGAGCAATGCCAGTGTATAAAAACTGAATACGGCTTTGGGGCTCTTACAGGCACAACAGGGAAAAGGTTTTTAGGTACAGAATGTAAGCAACAAAAAGTTGCAACAGAAGAAAGCTTCTCGCATTCCCAGCAGAAGTAAGGATCCAGTAAATCACTCTTCTCCATACTATTTTACCTTCTGCTGGCCATATTTTACCATGCTGCAAACTTGAGCTGTCAATTCATAAAACATTTCCTGTCAGCACAGCATTGCAGACATTGCTGAGAGCTATATTCATTCTTGTGCATAAAGGAATGAATTGTCTTCCAGAGCAGCCCACATGATGCAGTCTGGCAAACTGCCTAATAGTTCTGTTCTACAGATAAAGAATTTGGTCTCAGAGCAGTTTTGGATATCCATTATGGTCAGTCTGGCCTATCTGTAAGACAGGATCACAAAGACTGAGGTACTGCCTCATAGACTATTTGGTAACTGTGTAACCATGTATAGTATTTAGCTGATCCATGTTAAACAAAAAGATATAAACATGTAAGGGTAGTACTTAATAACTTTACACAACTCAATCTCCTTAGAAAGTAAACTAGAAGCAGCTACAATTGAAACATCTGGCAGCCAAAAAAAAAAGAAAAAAAAAGGAAAATTAAAAGCCATGGTGCAGTTATGACATTTAGATGTCCTACCCTCTCTGGATTCTGTCCTGGATTGTGGGCAGGGAGCACGAGATCTCCATGTGGTAAAGTAGGGTGCTGTGAAGCTGCAAACTTATTTGGCTTGTACTCCAAGGCCAGCTGCTGCACACCAACTTGAAAACAGATTAAATTCTAATGCAGTTGTTAAATCACAGCCATTATCATGAGATGAATCAGCCCAACATGAAAGAACAGATGAGGTATAATTATCGGAATCAATAAACTGATCTGTCATCTCAGTACAGGAAAGATGTGGACGTGTTGCAGCAGGTACAGAGCATGGATGAGTATCTCTCCTCTATCTAGAGAGTGGTGGAGGTCTTCAGCCTGGAGAAGAGAAGGTGCTGGGGAGATGTTACCACAAAGTGGTAAAAAAAAGCCAACACGTGTGTGAAAGGTGTCAAGCTATGTAATGAACAGTATTTTAAGAGGGTAAAATCAATTGTTGCTCAGCTGTTCATTTCTCTGAAAGGCAAGTCTTGCTTCATTACTGTTAAATACTTCTATACTCATGAGGATCTCAGATCAGAAGAAAGAAAGCCAATACACTAAGGACTATAAAATGGAAAATGTGTGAAAAAGACAAAGCAAGTAACTGCAAGGGTCCTCATTTGCAGTAAGGAATGACAACAACCATGAACTAGAATATATAACTGGCAGCACAATGTGCTCTGTTCCTCATTCTCTAAGGTTTAATAAATTTTTACAAATAATATAAACTCAAAGAAAAGCTAATTTTCTGTACATTCCTACAGGCTCGGACTAGGCCATTGACCTAATAAGTGTTCCAGACAGCCAGAGGAGGGCATGGCCAACTGGAAAGAAAGCAAAGAAAGCTCTGCAGAGGAATAGCGACGGTGGTCTTATGCAAAGCAGAACACTGTGAGAACTTTATCTGGTACAAAGTATGAAACCTCTTAAGAGACTTCCTCTTAAGACATGTGAATCTGTTTCACAGGTATCATACTCCACTAAAACTTTCTGCATGGCATGAAGATGACTCTAAGGAGTTGGCATTGTTAAAATTCCAAGAGATACAGGTACATTCTGTCAGCCCCTCACGTCTGCACCAGTGACTCTCACAACACTTAAAGGACTCTAGCATCTACAAGCTTATGAATTAGTCTCAAGTGTAATATGATCTTTAAAATGAGATCTTCTTGATTGTAATAGACAACAGGCCAACTATGCTTAAAACCAGAATCATTGTTTACCTTAACTGTGAAACTGAGGCAGTGTCATACACAAGGCTGCCAGAGCTGATTAAAAATCAGATAAAACTGTCTAATTGTATTAGAGACTCAGTATTTCATTGTATTAAAAGCAAAAAGTCAAGTTCAGTCATTAGCAAACTAGAATATTATATACAAGAGTCTCTAATTCCTTAAGTCAAAAACCTTAATTCATCTGTTTTGGGATTAACCTGGTTTTGTGAGGAAAAGTGAAAGCACAAGTACCTGCAAAATAAGTTGATAGTCTACACTCATTTTTCAAGGATAAATTTGTTAGTTTTTGTTCCCAGCACAAAGGATTGTATGAGTATTTTTACAATTTCTGTTTTAAAAACTGTATTTTGCCATTTAAAAAATTCCTATACAAATACAGGCCTAGTGAATATGTATTTAGGAGTCTACTTTTCTAATCCCTATTTCCTGATTAATGTAGAAAGTCACCATTCCTTGGATTTTTATCTCAAAATTCAATCTCCTATACAACACAGAGTTTATTTTCAATATTTAGACCAAGAAGTTAACTTCCATTCAGCAAGGACGACTTGGTTAATCTCTACAGTAATTGCAAGAGCAAGTTTATTAATCTAGAACATGTGAGATTTAATGCAGACGAACCATTATCTGAGATTTGCTGGAGCTTGATAAGAGGTTGTAAGTTAATTACCTCCTTTTGTAGATGGAGTTTGAAGAAACTGTTTGGTTTTGAAGGCAGCACGAGGCAAATTTTTCTGCCTTTGCAGAGCTGTTGAAAGACAAGAAGTGTTATATTTGTCTAAGAAGATAAGAAAACTAAATTTACTGGGAATTTCAGAATTGTATCCACTTGTGAAGCATCAAGGAACAGTGTGAGTAAAACACTCAAAAAGCTGTTATGACTCTGGAAGTGATGGAGTTTTGTGAATGGTGCTTGCTCTTAATGGCAAAGAGTTGCAGAGGAGTGTGTCAGAAATTTTGCAGTGCAAAATGCGCAGATTCGGTAAGAGTAAAGCTTCTTGCAGGGCAAAAAGCCCAGAAATGCAAAACAAAAATTAAAACACCATAGGGAGAACAAGCCACCTAGCAAACATGCTACAGCAAAATGAGAGCAAGATTAGATACAGATGAAAATTAAACTGATGTATTTGACCTAGCAAGACTAAATTTTTAATTTTAAAAGTTTTTTCAAAAAATATTCTAATACTATACAAAAGCATAAATCTTTGTCTAATATGATCATCATATAAACAAATTGTATTCTGCAGTTATGGAGACTTAAGCCTTCTTTGAGAGATGTCTTTTTTCTCCCCTCTTCAGAAGGTATGCAAGAGGATTTAAGCTTAAAATGAAGACTTAACACTAAGATTTATCAACTGCCAGCATATACCCAGCGTGATGGAAGTTGGTTTTTATTGCTCCTTTTCTCCATTGTCCTGCCTTTTGTCTAGTAATATTCAAGGGCTGATACTGCCTTGCAATGACCTCACTACCTACCAGTTACCAAGAGAGAAGCCAATGTTCCAAGAGCTGCAGAATCGGCATGGAGAGAATTACTTATTGCCAGAAGGAATGCATTGACTCAGCCTATTTCCATCACAGCACATTTAAAGGGGAGAAGGAGGAAAAAGTAGTCAATGAAATAAAGTTTTGACTACACAGAGACTTCATAAAATGATAATGTATGAATAAACATCTCAGCTTATCTCGGTATATGAAGTTTTATAGCAGCATAGAACTGATTGTACTAGCAAGGCTTATTTCCATAGCGAGAAGGAAGAAGGATGGGGGAACAGCTGTGCAAAAAGTTCCTGACCCTGAGTAAGGACTAATCCCATCACCAATTACTGAATATCGCTATAAAGAAGGTGGGGGGGAACAATCTGAACCCTAATATTAGTTAATACTTTTGTTTGATAGCATATAATAATTTCTATCACTTTTCCTATGTTTCAGTCAGTGCAAAATACACAGTATTTTATGAACTATAAAAAATTCATCACGTGTTTTAACATCATGCTGAAATTATGGCTAGGCAGTCTATTCAATTTAGTCCTAATAACTAACTATAACTGTCATGTTCAACAAACAGCTAAAAGGTATTAGATTGTTCTTAAACACAGTAAAATTCTGCCTCTGCCTGCTACTAATAAAAACCTTATTCTTTCTACCAACTAGAATCTAATGCAAAATAGCCTGTGGCAATATGTAATTCTTACTCAACTGCCACATGGTCTTCCTAGAAATTTTTTTAAAGCATATACATGAACAGCAAATTAAGCACAGTAAGGTCTCATTAAATATGAGCACAATTCCTAGAAATTTACTGAGGCAGACCACTGGCCAGACTGCTTCAGTCCATAAGTATTCCACTTCATTATTTTTCACTGAATTACTGTTTTTGTTATGCCACACAAAATGAAGAAAAGCTTCTTCCTTCATATTTTGAGGTTTTTTCATCCTAATGCACTCAGATTTCAATATGCTACTGCACATGACACTTTCTTCCCCCATCATTATTCACACTTCTTGCAAGTCAGAGAGATGGGATGATATGGAAAGGATTTTAAATATGCATATATCAAATTCCTTCCTTCTCAATGGAGACTCCAGGAAATAGACACTCAATAGCAAAACATTTCTGTGCACTGAAACACTGAACAGAGCTTAGGCAGTGCAATTTGAGCAATGCTGAGCAAACATGCAGTTTGAGATAAGCGTCCAGTGCATGTTTATCCACACCACTTGCTGCTCTTGAAGTGCTCTGTGTGCTGTGACATTCCCTGCCACAACTGCTGCATGCTGAACACATGTCGTGACATTTACTTCTGATCAATGGAACTGAACTACTTTGTTTCTTCAAAACTTACTCTTCCTCCTTTTACTCTGAACATGCCAAGCAGTTGGATCTTGGCACACAGACAGTCACGTTACTGATAGTTTGAATCTAGAGCTCCTCAAGGAAGTTTTGTATTTAGCTCTTCTTAAAAGCATCCATGTGCTGATAGTGCCACTAAGTACAAAAGCATCACACAGAATTCAAAAGCAGGGAGCTCCTGCATGGAAGTCACCCTACAATTTCTAGAGCTTTGTACAATCTATGTGGTACAGGACCCAAACATGGAGATTTCCCATCACTAACACTTTAGACAATACCTTATCCTTGGGGAACACACATATTACCATATCTTCGAGTGTTTTAAGGTGAAATATTAACTAGCTTTCATATTTTAAAAAAAGTACTTTATGCAGAATAGCATGGAAAATCAGTTGTAAATGAAGATTCAAATTGTTAAAATTGCTATTCAGTAGTCTGTCTTCAAAACCAATTTGGATTGTTCACCACATTGCAGCTAAAAGTTAAAATGCCGATGTTTTCATGTTTACAGCTGTACCTCTAACAGTTGTACCTCTAAACACATCATATCTGTCTTCCCTCTCTTCTGTAAGCAAGCAAATACAATTTGGCTATAAAACTGTAAGAGGAATTGTCATTTCAGAAACTTACTGGATTCCTAGCTCATTTTTGAATGCCAGCAACCATAGCAAGTTCAGTATTGCAGCCACAGCAAATGTGCAAGTAAATTATGGACCGCAAATCTTTGACAAGGAGCAAAGTAGTGACCTCAGGTGGCAAGCCAGCATCCTCGCAAAGGTAAGCTCATGCAAAACTAGCAGGTGTATGAGGAAGCTTCAAATCCCAAGACCCAGAAATCATTGCCAAGGGAAAACAAAAATTTGCTGCAATTTAACAGTGCTTTGTGCAAAGTGACAAAATATAAAACCAATAAAACAAAAAGTATACAATAAAAAGGACACAATTCTGGAAATCTTTATACAATGTACAGTTTTGCAGAAAATTTTTTAATCCAGACTAAGCAAAGATACTTACTCATTGACTTCACACACAAACCGTTTTACGATTGTCAATAGCAAGACTCTGACAAACATCTGTAAGAGCAGGGAAACTGTAAAAGCTAGAAATCTGGCCTTCATTAATGATATTTAACTTACATTTAAATGTAAGTTGGTCTAGAGTGGTTCACATTTGGGGAAGTTTCTATGAAAGAAAAGCAAATTTACCTAGTAATTCTTAATGCATCCACAAGTTGAAAAAGAAATATAAACACAATCAGACCACTTTGGTTCCTGCAATGAAGTAATTGACTAAATATTGAATACTGAGACTTCTGTTGTCTGATCTTTCCAGAAAGTTTAACTATGAATATAGTTTTAATTCTGGAAATAGCTTTCCAGCTAAGTTGCTCTCTATGCTCTTCCCTTCCCAGTTCACTAAATTCTGAAGCACCAAATAAAATCTGTAGATTTTTACTACAAATATTTTTTGTTCATTTTCTTTCAGCTCATTTTGATAATTCTTCCTATCACTGAATATCTGTAGACCAGCTGCCCAACTGCTTTGAGTGCTTTATACTTTGATAAGGCTGCCTAACAGGTAACAGTTGTGCATTTGAACTACACAAATGTCCTTTCAGCTGCAACTCCCACCTTCTGACTGTCTGCAAAAGGTGGAAGAAGAGGGCCAAGGTGCACAGATGCTAGAGTAACTTATACAAACAATGGTAAAGTCACACTAACTTCTGTCTACTACAGTATCCCACACCTGGGACTGACTGTTCACACAACCCTTACAGCTGCTCTGAGTCTGTACAAAGACAGAAACCTTGGAGTCTTTGGCTTGGTCTCTATTCCATATTCTGTATTTAACTGTACTCGGTAGCTTTAACACATTGTTTTGAAAATTTTAAGACAGCCAACTATTTCTTCCCTTGAAAATGTCACACAAGGTTATTAAATTCAAAAACTTGTTTTAAAAGAAATGGTCAGGAAACATTTAAACAACAGGAACTGGCAGTATTGACATATAAAGAAACACTGAATATTTAATTTTCATTTGCTTTGGCTTCTTTAAGGTCACCATTTTCAAGAGATTTGTGAGAATAGCAGCATTTTCATATCAGCAGTTAACTTCTGGAGAAACTAGGAAAGCAGGAGTCCAGCAATGGGCTAATATGTTTTATGAGACACAAGTTCATCCAAACCTTTTCTAGGAAGTAACTGACACTTAAAGTAAATAAAATTGCCAACTGGATATATAATCTATATGCCAAAAAAAAAAAGAAGGAAAGAAATTGCAGAACTGCAGACATGGGTTAAACTGAAATTAGCACTTTCAGGTCATGTTTCACTAGTTTAAAAAAAAAACCAATAAACATCATCTAGGTGTTTTTTCAGAGCCTAGAAAGAAAACAGTTTCGGACATGCCCAAATACTGTATTTATAATTCTTCAAATTACTTCTACGTACACTTTTAGGAAACTATGAAAGAAACCAGACTTTGAGTATTTTGTGCACCATAAAAAGAGATTCACAAAAGTCTGATTAAAAATCAAGATTACCATCTCCAGTGTGGCATGCAATGTTTTGCTTTGTCCTGAGACTAGAAGACAGCCAAATACCATCACTTAACTCCGAAATTTACACTGAAGTAGTACCAAAGGTACTTACTGGCTGAGGCTTGAGGTTGAATGCGAGGTATTCCTCCATTTGGCACTTGGAAGTTTGAGTCACTTCTGCTGTTTTTCACAGACTCAGCTTGGATGTTAGATGTCCTGGACAAGTTTGGAAGACTACGCCTTAGTTTTTCTGTATGAAATAATACAAAGATACAGCGTGTAGTCTGATGCTGGACAAAGGTCAGGTTGAAAGCCCATAGTTGATCCCCAAATGTGACACAAAATGTTAGCCATATAAAACTACATTGCAATTTAAAAGTGTATTTTGTTACATTACTTCTTCTCAAATCTATCACATAGACTATTTATGTATCTAAAGAGTAAGAACGTCTATCTTTCACCTATGGAGAAAAAAGTCAAGCATATTGTGTTTTGAAATTGAAACATATCTGGATTGTGATTTTCTGAGTTTTATTGTACTATTATCAAAGCTGAACAGACAAACCTAATTTGCAGTTTTGCACAGTTTTCAAATTTTTTACCTTATTTGTAACAAAATGCTTGTCTGAAGAGTAAAAACAACATAAATGTTTGAGTAAATTTTTGAGACTGCCTTGTCCTGTATCAGTCCACTATACTACAAATAACAGACTCCCACTTGGTAAGGACTTCTTCATACACAGCATTCAAAATTACAGAAGTGTCCAGTTATGCTTCATCTTTCACATATGACTTGACTTATCTACTCAGCTAATGCTGATACTTCAGGGGCCTTCTAATATTTGTACCACTGTTCACAGACTACGAAAAGATGCCATTAAGTACTTCTCCAGTCTAATGACATTCTGTGTATCTCCAACCCATCCAGAGCTGGGTTGACGACATACTTTGGACAGAAGACTGAAGATGCCGTGACAGGATGAGTGGCCAACCTGATTCTGCAGAGGGATGCAGGGAAGAAGTAGGTTAACCATGCACAAGCACTAAAGGTGAAAACAAAACTAAGTGTTCATTGGCTGAATATTCCAATAAGTGTACTCTCCTCACTTAGCAGTTTGCATTCCTTTGTACTGCGCTTGGTACATTGTTGAACCCTGTCAACCAAATTCTAGACAAATTCCCAAATTCCCTCCAACCATTCTAGACAAATAATATAAAAAAAACCAAACAAAACAAAAAAAACCCAAAACAAAACAAAAACCAAAAGAGAAAACCTGAACAACTTTTTTTGGCTGCTGCTGTATCAACTCTGGAATATCCAAGCAACACGCAACTGCACAAAAACCACTGCAAGATAACTCCTTGGAAGTGTTTCAGAAATGCATGATCACACACTCTATTTTGATCCCTCTGGTATGGGGGATACTAGCTTTTGCTACAATTCCTCTCATAGGATATTTTTACTGCAGCTCATCTAGCACGCATTAAGACTTTCATTTTAAGAAATGAATGGGAAGGGAATTCTCGATTAAGTTACAATAGAATTGATTAGATTTTGTGTTGCACATTTTCCTAGATACCTAAAATTTCCCCAAACCACTATTACTAGTAAGGGCAATTCTTAATATCTAAATGTGTATTCTTCCTAAATTTAAAATCTTACTTGCTGGATAAAAAATACGTTTGTTGAAATGGGAATATGCTTGCAAAATTTCATCCCAGTAAAAGGAGTTTGTGCTAGATTACTACTAGGAAAAAGTACATTCAAGAAGAAAAGTTGTATCAGGATTATATTATTTTGTTCTATGCAAATATAGTATAACTGCATTGAATTTACTCCAAGCTTTATTTATTACGCAGCAGTTTTCACAGCTTTGAGATATGTAAAATAGCCAACAAATGCATGAGTTAAGTACTAATATTTTTAAGACTGTGTTCATGATTGAAAATTTCAGAGTCCTGTGCAACCAGAAGAAAGCATTCAGCTGCCTCACATGCTATAGGCATGCATAAATGGCCATGTTACTCTTATCTGACCACAGTTACCTTCCTCTGCATTTTGTTCTGTCATCTACAAGGCCTAGCTCTACTAGTAAATGAGTTTTCCTGCTTTATTTTAGTGCATTTGCGTGTCAAATATAGATCTTGGTCACTATGAAACTCAATTATACTCATTAACTAGATAACATCTAAAATAAATATAAGCCTATCAACTCATCTGACTGTAAGGTTGCCCCAGCAGAACTTAAGCTTTGCTTGCTCTGTGTTTTCTTCAGCAATTCAGAGATCAAACCACAATATTACATAGGCACATAGTTTTAGGACTGCACACTGACAAAACTGCTTTACTACACAAATACTACACAAAAACTACACAAATACTTGTGTAATGAACTTCAAACAGTTTTTTACCTTCACTTTTGACATTACTAGTTTGCAAGTCTGTAGGATGGCCTTGAAGGGAAAGACGAGGTTGCTGTAAACGGCTAATCATAGGCTGTGGTGACACTCTGCTGTACTCTATGCTTCGAGCAGGTGATCGGGAGCGAGGCGAGTTTCTTGGAGATTGTTTTGGTGAAGGCCAGGGAGAACTGCGAGGTGATGGTGAGAACCTGCTAACAGCAGGGTGCACTGTGTGATGTGTGCCATCTTCCTCATCTTCTAAGCTCTGTGCATCAAGCTCCTGGTCGCTGAACGTGCCTCGCCGCGTGGAATTGCAAGAGGAGCCAGAACTACGCCGAGAAGCTGTGGCTGCGTACTCTTGCCGCAGGCCTGGCAACAAGAAGAGTGTTGTTTACTTGCTTCCAGCCCACAGGTGGTTCAAACTAGAGACAGTGCACACAGATACCTGCACAGTTCTCAAACTCAAATTTGGCTCACCTTAACTCCTGTTATTGGAGGCATTAAATAAATTCTGATTAGTACCAAAAAGTTATCTGCCAGCTAATAGTGACTTGAATTAGGTGAGCTCATTCCTTTTCCTAGTAAAGCAATCATCAGTATAGGTGTTTGTGTATGTACTCGTTCACCTCCTCTCCCAGGCTGCAAATAGCAACACAGGCTACATCATAATTTTGGTATCAAGTAACATCCTACAACAATTACAGCAGCCACAATGGAACGTCTCTTGCAATGTGTTAGTGAATCTAACCAAAAAAGCAACACAATAAGTTACCCCTAGAGAAACTGGAGGTGTTAGATCAGTGGTCTGTGAAGTGTGGTGCCCACACCCCTGGGAATATGCAAACTAATCCACTGCCATAAAGCAAGAAAATTCTGAACAACTAGTATTTTTAAAATAGCATTTATCTTGTCTTTATCTCATACTTTTAAAAATTATAATTTTGTGTATATTTGTGTGATGTTATATATTAGAGTAATACATGTCTATAATTTATTAAAAGCATATTTATTAGGCATTTGGATTTTGTTTTTTTCACTGATAAGGATACACAATAAAATAGTCTGGAGACCACCTAGTTAGACAACTGAAATTATTACCACTTTCTGCAAATTCAGAGGGACAAATGTCTCAACTAAAGCTGTAATTAAAGACAGACATCTATATAGGCACTTTTCTTAATAATTCTTTGCCATACTGACTTTACATTTCAGCGATTTAAATTATAGTTTAAGCATTGATGTGAACAAGACTGGATTACATCAGGAAAGCACCAATCTCCTGAGAAGAATGGTGGCAGGCAGTAGTCCATTCTAACAATCATCCTTTTAGCAAATACTGTACCTTACAAATTCATACTCTCCAGCATTGTCTTGTCCATTGTCCCTAAAGAAAACTTAACTGCACAGTAACTTCCTTTCTTTAGCCTGGAGGCTGAAGTCCTTAACCAGCTTTCTTGGGCAAACTACATTTGTGCTTACTAAACAAGTACTACTACAGTTATTAAAAAAAACCCCAAACAACAGCTCTATTTGATTTCAGGAAAAAAAAACCACTTACTTTCTTCCTGCATTCGTGCTAAAATTTGCACATCTGTAACATCATTTAACTTGTAATTAGACCCAATAGAGTCTTCATCCATCTCCGATGCACTTAATTCACTGTCCAGAGAAGACTGTGGACTTAGTGGAGGATTTCTATCTCCTGAAATTTTAAGATGACCTATGGAAGGAAAATAAAGTAACAGGAATTATTGTAACAAAAAAAAAAAAAACAACAAAAAAAAACACCAAACCAAATCTAACCCACCCAAAAAACCAAAGGCAAGCTGCATTTCCTTTCCTAGTAAAATTCACCAGTCTGAAGAAATTGCTACTGAGACATTGTTCCATTGATCTGACAAACCATTTGAAACATTTGGTTATTATTGCTTAACTGGAATGTATGCTTCTTCCATATATTGTTCACATCTCAGAGATATTGATGGATACACTGCATACCAAATGTTTCAGTTAGTAAACCATAAGATAGTTGAAAAGACTTCACAACTACCAACCCCTAACCTTTGAACACCCACCATGGAACTTGCACCCCTGTCAATTACAGGGTCAGTTCCTGAAGCCACTTGGAACTCCACAGAATGAACTCAGGTGTTTTGGTCTAACTGCTGATCACATACATCAGTAATTTTTGGGACGCAGACACCCAAAGAAAACATTTTACATGTTTCTCATGTCAGAGAGTATGCAAAAATCCCTTCCTCAAAAGCTTAAAACGTGTGATGCACACATCCTATAAAATGCAAGAAAGTTCTGGAGTCTTTCTTACTCTAGTTCGATGCAGATGTTGTCTATCTGAGCATATTTGTGAAGGAAGAAGAGGAAGAAAGGAAAAGACCAGACACACAGTGACTTACCTGAGGTACCAGGAGGTATGAGCTGTTTCACTAAAGCAGATTTCACCGGTGTTGAGGAGGGAGAGTTGAAGCCACTGCTGTAGGGGCTACCGGTATTTGGACTGTAGGAGCTGGCATAACTGACCGCACTGAAAGGGCTGCTGTACAAACTCTGTCTCTTGAGAGCTGCAAGAAAGAGGAGAAAAATGATGAATTATACTGAGTGAATTGATGAAAAACAAATACAACACTATATTATGTCTTCATTGTGATTTAATTACGATGCAATTCACGTAGAA